TATATATCACCTTTTAATAATAATTTTATAATAAATTTGTTAATTTTTATAATAATTATTTAAAAATTTACCAACATAATTACTAATTTAAATTGAAAATTTAATGAAGTTAAAATAATTTCATACTGATTAATTTACACATTTAATGGTCTACAATACTTAATATTTTAAAGGGTTAGCTGTTTATTATTTTAATGATTAATAAGATAAATAATTATTTTTTCTTTACAACTTTTGAGGGCCACAACAACAAAAAGAAAACTATAATTTCAACATATTATCCATTTTTAAAGAATATTAATCTTAATTCTGAATTATCAAACACTTATTGTTATATTTAATTAATTGTCAAACCTTTATTTTCAACTTAACCGCGAACAAATGATTATCTCTCTTCGTTTTCTTTACAAGTATCAAAAAGATATCTCCTTTATAAAAAAAAATAAAGATACTTGCATTATTTTAAACAATATATAAACACAACCCAAAGTATTTTAAAATAATTACAAGATGACAACTGTATAATCTTACAATTTGAAACAAAGTATATAAGAATTTGTGATTATAATAAATATAATTATGATATTACATGTATTATTATTAATTATTTCAAAATAAGCCGCAAGGACAGTTGCATGAATTAAGATGGGATGGGCATAATGGATGGCAACAGAGAATATGTAAAAGGTCTTAAGTTTGAAGGTTATTAAAATTTTAAAATAAACAAAAAATATGCATAAATTAAGTTATATATATATATATAAAAGTTAATGACTTATACATTATCGGTGTAAAATTCTTTTATATTGATAACTAATCATATATTTTAATAGTATTATGTTATTTACTTATTTAATTAAATAAAAATAAAATAAAATAATTTAAAAGATATAATTGGTTATTAGTGTAAAAATTACATTGTATAAATAATTAATTTTATATATATTTTGAGAAAAGAAAAGCAAATATAAGTATAATAATCCCGTTACGTAGCATGTGTTAAGAAAATGGGAAGGGTCAAAAACTGGGCAACTAAACAGGGATGAAACTGGAAAGAGACATGGAATGGAAGGGGTTGTTGAGAAGTTGGAAAGCTGAAACAAAGTTTTTATACCTGTTTCGTGTGATGAGTTTGGTTAGAAATTCCCAGAGACGGTGGTTCTTGCAAATGACCAAGCAAATGACCCGAGTTATGTGTTCGTACCAGCACACTAACGACGCTCCAAACGCCATCGGTGGCCACACGCGCCTTGGCGCAACCTTTCTCATCACATACTGTGTGGCCTGCGTTTCACCCTTTGGAACCGGATAGAAAGGCTGTTCATAAATTAATTAATATTCATATCATACTATAAATAAGGATATATATATATGGAACAAGATTAATTACCGGGGCAAGAAGGGTCAACGATTTGACGGATTGAGGGTGTTTGACGGCGAGGGCAAGGGCCAAAATGCATCCCAAGGAGTGGGCCACAATGTGGAAGGACTTGACCTTATGGGCCTCCAAAACTGACCTCTCTATCATCTCTAAATGCTCCCTTAGCGTGTATAGAGACTCGCTGGGCTTTGGGCTTCTCCCAAACCCAAGTAGATCAACCGCAAATAACCGGTAACATGACTTGGCCGCACTCGAGAAGTTGGGGAACAAGGTCTCGCTCCAAAATAATGACGATGATATAAAGCCATGTATGAACACCACATCTTCTCCTGCCCCCTCTACACAATTCAAGTCACGAGCATCGTGGTGTCATCATCAATTCATTCAATTCCATTCACATGACAACAGATTAAAGCATAAGACACTAAACAAGGGTGGTATGTAAAAACATGAGTATTTTGTTAGGAATTATTATTATTACCTGTGGTGGGGCATTGGGACTTAACAAAGAGAGTGGCTTTGGCATTGGGGTTGTTAGTATTAGGAGAGGATGAGATCCAACTAGTGCAAAGTTTGCAATCACAGTCAGACCATCTAGTTTTGGGGTGGGTTTGGTGTCTTCCGATTTTGCCCTGGAGCATTTCGACAATGGTGGTGTTGACAGTGAAAGTGGAGCAGCGATGGTTGGGGTTGGGTCTCTTGGAGTGTAGGAGGGGGTCCTCCAATTTGAACCTGTTGAGCTCGTTGAGGGTTAGCCTGGAAACCTCGGAGACCAAAGAGGGTCGCGAGTAAAGGGTGTCAGAGACGTCCTCCAAGTGAAGCTTGGTTGAGCTAAGCGACACGATCTTTGACTCACCACCTTGCTCAGAAACCAAGATCTTCCCGCTGCTCGTGATTGCTTCCCTCGCCGAGGAACAGTAGCAGGGTCGAAACTCAGCCTCCACCCACAAGTCCACAGCTTTGAAGACATAGCACAGAAGAAAATCAACGAGGTCCAGAAAGCAGAACGCCACGAAGCTCACTGCTTCGTTTACCACTCTCCCACTCATTGCTAAAACGGATCTAACACCCATTTGCATGCAGATAAAGGTGAGAGGGAGAGTGAGAGTGAGAGTGTGAGCAAGTAATTAAAGTGTGAGTATTTATGTAAGTAGGGTGGAGAATGGCATTAGGAGGAAGGGTGAGTGAAGGTTCGAATAAAGCTTGCGAAGGCAACGGAATAGTGTATCTTAAAGCGTGTGGGTTTGCCTCTCTTAAATTAAAACTTCAAAACAAAAACCAGACAGACAAAGGAAGGAGAGAGAGAGAGAGAGAGAATTGATGGTTCATTAAACTGCATTTGTTGGCCAAGAAATAAAAAGTAGTTGGTTGTTGAACCCCCAGAGAATGAAGAAACAATTTCCCCTTCACTTCACCCCAAAATATGCGACACTGGGCTTTAGAATTTAGATAGATGATCAAGGGTAAACAAAGTGGTATATATAAGTAGAATAAATTGGTTGCACTAGCCTAATTGTACGAGATAAGTCACTTTCATACGAAATTATCGCCACCATTTTCCCACCCGCTAGAGTCTTCACTCTTCATTTTACCTAGTGTTAATCAGAAAGCCAACCTAATTGATGTGTTACTCATCACAAATTAATAAATAGTTAATTCGGACCATAAACCTTTTGTATTTAATGCAATCTGCATCGCCCACATGAGCGCCATGCCATTAGGTACCAATTTAAAACCGTCCTCAATCACTCGTCAATCACTATGCTTTTAAGACTCTGTCAAACTCCCTTCCACAACTTTAATATCAAAGTATAATTATGTTCCCTTTTTCATTTGTTTCACTCTTAATATCAAATTCTATAAATTCCTTCTAAGTTCTGACAAGCTCGGTTTATGGAAAAATAAATAAATTAAATACTATCTTTCATCGCAATTATATATCCAAACCCTTTAGACTGATGTTCAAACTTTAGCTGGGTTATATATATAATTTAATGAATTTAGTTATGGGTTAAGTTATATATATATAATTTAAGACAGAAAACAACAAAATCCTAATATTTCCTCATGAGGACTTATTTATTGGCAAAAAAATCTTAATTTTTTTTAATAAAATATGAACAAATTTATTAAAATCAACTTTATTAATTGTTTTTAATCTAAAAATACATTTATGTTAATAAATAAAAGTATTATCTACTATAAATATGTTTAAAGATATTTTAAAAAATATAATATATATTTTATGTAAAATTATAAAATTAAATACATTTAATAAACTTCTTAATTTATGTGTAATTAATTTTATTTACTTATAAGTCCAGAAGAGGAAATACCATATGCTATCAATGCTTTTATAACTTGTGAATAAGTTGATCTACCTCGTTTATTTGTTTCATTATCAATTTATTATGTTCTATGTATGTCACAAATTCAAGAGCTTTTTTATATACAAACTCTATATATTAAACATAAATAGTTACCTTATATAATAGTATTTTTAAGGAATATTTTTTATGAGAGAATTTTTAAAGATTTTCTTAATTTTTTAATTAATTTAATTTTTAGTTATCAATTTTATTTATAGATTAAATTTTAATATTATAAAATGAATTATCAATAAA